CTGTTGGCAATTACACTTAGAAAACCACGGGCAACTGGACGAAAATTTGAAAAAAAAAATAATTATAAAAATATATTAAAAATTATGTAGGGCTGAAAAGTCCCGGACCTGAAATTTTTTAAATTTCGAAAAAAATCAAAAAAAAAATATTAAAAAAATTGTTGGCAATTAAAATTAGAGAACCAAGGGCAACTGGACATACGTTTGAAAAAAAATAATAAAAATCTATTGGAAATTTTTCAGGCCTGAAAAGTTCCGGACCTAAATATTTCAGCTCAAATTTTCAAAAAAACAGAGATCTGAAAAAAAAATTGTTGGCAATTAAAATTAGAATAGCATGGAAAACTGGACAAAAATTTGAAAAAATTACAAAAATCTATTGAAAATTTTGCAGGGCTGAAAAGTTCGGGACCCAAAAAATCCTAATCTTAGACAATTTTTCCATAGGCATGAATTTCTTTTAAGAATCAATAAAGAAATCACAAAAAAATATATAAAAATCTAATGGAAATTTTGCAGGGCTGAAAAGTCCCGGACCTAAAAATTCCAGCTCAAATTTTCAAAAAAGAAAAAAAAGATGTGAAAAAAAAATTTGGCAATTGAAATTAGAGAAGCATGGACAACTGTACAAAAATTTGAAAAAAAAAATTACAAAAATCTGTTGAAAATAAAACAGGGCTGAAAAGTTGCGGACCTTAAAATTCTGAAACTTGGACAATTTTTCCAAAAGCATGAATTTCTTTTAAGAATCAATAAAGAAATCACAAAATGACTAGTTAAAAAAAAAAAACAAAAATCTATTGAAAATTTTGCAGGGCTGAAAAGTCCCGGACCTAAAAATTCCAGCTCAAAAAAAAGAGATCTGAAAAAAATTGTTGGAAATTAAAATTAGAGAAGCATGGACAACTGGACAAACATTTGAAAAATAATAAAAATATACAAAAATCTATAGAAAATTTTGCAGGGCTGAAAAGTTCCGGACATAAATATTTCAGCTCCAATTTTCAAAGAAAAAAAGATATCTGAAAAAAATGTTTGGCAATTAAACTTAGAAAAACATGGACAACTGGTCATAAATTTGAAAAAAAAAAATTATAAAAATAAATTAAAAATTTGGCAGGGCTGAAAATTTCCGGACCTCAAAATTTCGAAACGTGACAATTTTTCCATAAATTTAATTTCCATAAATTTCTTTTAAGAATCAATGAAGAAATCACAAATTAACTAATTAAAAAAAAAAATAAAAATTTATTAAAAATTCTACAGGGCTGAAAAGTACCGGACCTACAATTTTCGAAATTCCGGCTAAAAAAAAAAAACTGAAAAAAATTGTTGGCAATTAAACTTAGAAAAACATGGACAACTGGTCATAAATTTGAAAAAAAAATAAAAATCTATTGAAAATTATGCAGGGCTGAAAAGTTCCGGACCTAATAATTCCACCTCAAATTTTCAAAGAAAAAAAAGAGATCTGAAAAAAATTGTTGGCAATTAAAATTAGAGAAGCATGGACAACTGGACATAAATTTGAAAAAAAAATTACAAAAATCCATTGAAAAATTGGCAGGGCTGAAAAGTTCCGGACCTTGAAATTCCGAAACTTGGACAATTTTTCAAAATTCCGGCACAAATCAAAAACAAAATCTGAAAAAATTGTTGGCAATGGAAATTACCAAAATTGAAAAAAATAAAGGACAACTGGACAAACATATGAAAAATATAATAAAAATTAAACAGGGCTGAAAAGTCCCGGACCTAAAATTCCTAGATTCCAGCTCAAATTTTAAAAAATTTCAACAAAAAATAGATTTTAAAAATGTGTTTCTGTTAACATTAGAATACCATGGAGAAGTGGACAAAAATTTGAAAAAAAACGACAATCTATTGAAAATTATGCAGGGCTGAAAAGTCCCCGACCTAAAAATATTTTCAAAAAAAAAAAAAAAAACAAAAAATCAGAAAAAAAATTGTACAAAATAACCCGTTTGCTTCTATTTAAAAAAAATCAGAAAAATCCATTGAAAAGTTGGCTGGGCTGAAAAGTTTCGAACCCAAGAACTCCTCAAAAAAATCCGAAACCTATTTAAAAACATGTATTTAATTTAAATCAGTTAACAATCACAAACCAACAAGGTTAGAAAAAAATCCGGGTAAGATATCATGCAAATTGTCTAGGGCTGAAAAGTTCCGGGCTCAAACTTTTAAAAATTTCAAAAAGCAAAATTTAGAAGCAAATATTTGTTCGAAATAAACATTAAAACCACATTTGCAACCATTTTGAAAAAAAAAAATACAATTTAAAAAATCTCTCCAAAATTAGGCCGGGCTGAAATTTTCTGGAAAAAAAATATCAAATCCTAGCCAAATGTTTTAAAAACTTGCATTTCTTTTAAGAAGCAATTAACAAATCACAAACAAACAAGGTTAGAAAACATCCGACAAAGATATAATGAAAATTGTCGAGGGCTGAAAAGTTCCGGGTTCAAATTTTACAAAAATTTACTAAATTTTAAAAAATTAAAAAAAAAAATGGATCAGAAAAATAGTGTTTCTGTTAAAATTAGAATACCATGTAAAACTGTTTAGAAAAAATCCGAGAAGGACATTATGAAAATTACCATGGGCTGAAAATTTCCGGGCTCAAAATTTAAAAAATTTCCAAAACCAAAAAAGAAGAAAAAATTTGAAATCAACATTTTTACCAAATTTGCATCTATTTTGAAAAGCATATCTGAAAAATCTATTGAACATTGGGCTGAAAAATTTCGGATCAAAGAAATCCTGAAAAAAAGTTCTAAAACAAAAATTCAGAAAAAAACATTGTTCAAAATAAACATTAAAACTATATTTATATAGAAAAAAAATTAAAAAAAATTAATAACAATCACAAAAATCACTTCAAAATTAGGCAGGGCTGAAAAGTCTCGGACCCAAAAGCTACTCGAAAAATTTCAAACTCTGGATAACAGCTTGAAAATATGAATTTCTGTTAAGAATCACTTAACAAATCTTAAACCAACAAAGTTAGAAAAAATCCGGGAAAAATATCATGAAAACTGTCAAGGGCTGAAAAGTTCCGGGCTCAAATTTAAAAAAAAAAATTCAAAGCAAAAATTCATAAAATAATTGTTTGAAATAAAGATTTTAAACACATTTTTATATGTTTTGAAAAAAACATCACAAATCTAAAAAATCCAAAAACATATTGAAAATTTGGCAGGACTGAAAAGTTTTGGACCCAAAAACTACTGAAAAAATTTCAAGCTCTAGACAACTGCTTAAAGATATGAATTTCTGTTAAGAATCACTTAACAAATCACAAACAAACAAGGTTAGAAAAAATCCGAGAAAGGTATCATGAAAATTGTCGACGGCTGAAAAGTTCCGGGCTTAAATTTTACAAAAATGGTCAAAAACAAAACTTTGGAAAAACTGGTGCGAAATAAATGTTTTAAGCCCATATGTATCTATCTTCAAAAAAAAGTTCAAAATTCTGTTGAAAATTGTGTAAGGCTGAAAAGTTTCGGGCCCAAGAACTCCTGACAAAAAACCGAAAAAATTAAAAAACAAAATAAAAATGTTTGAATTAATTATTATTAACCCATTTGTATATATTCAAAAAACATTTTAAAAATTTATTAAAAATTTGGCTGGGCTGAAAAGTTTCGGACCTGAGAGCTCCTGAAAAAATTTCAAAAATTCAGAAACAAAAAATATTCGAAATAACCCATTTGCATCTATTAAAAAAAATCAAAGAAATCTATTGAAAATTTGGCTGGGCTGAAAAGCTACGGGCTGAAATTTCTAAAAGTTTAAAAAAAAATGGAAGATAATTTATTTGAAGTTAACATTTAAATACCATTTGTATCTATTTTGAAAAAAAAAAATCACGAAAAACCTTTAAAAATTAGGCCGGGCTGAAAAGTATCGGACCTGAAATTTTCTGGAAAATAGAAATCCAAACCTTACGCAAATGTTTAAAAACATGAATTTCTTAAAAGAAACAATTAGCGAATCACAAAAAAAATTAGAAAAAATCCGAGAAGGATATCATGAAAATTATCAAGGGCTGAAAAGTTCCGGGCTCAAATTTAAAAAAAAAACAAAATTCAGAAAATTTTTTTATAAAATCTGAAATTTTATATAAATCTCACACAAATCTATTGAAATTTAGACAGGTCTGAATAGTTTCGGACCTTAAAACTTCTGAAAAAATTGAAACCCTATTCAAATGTTTAAAAACATTTATTTCTTATTAGAACAGTTTTTTTAACAAAGAAATTGAAATATTTTTTGCCAAATTAAAAATTAATCAATTTAATTGTGCAAGTCCCAAATATTCTTTCAAAAAAAAAAAAATAAATAAAATTAAACCTTCCAAAATTTCTAAAATTTTTCAAAATTACAACAAAATCACGTAGCTCAAACAAACATATGCCTGTATATACACACATACACTTATATACTTATTTATATGTATATATTTATATATAAATTATGCAAATATTATTTTCTTTGCTTTTTTGTTTTGCTCCAAGTTTCGCTGCTGTTGCTGCTCTCTTTTCGCCAAAAGCGTTTAAATTAAAATTAAAAAAAAAACTGTTTTATTTTTCTTGCGAGGCCTGCCTGCCTGCTGTTTGTTCTCCAAGCAAATAATTTGAATAAGAAATTAACAACAACAACAAAAAAACACCCAATAAAATTTACAGTGACAAGCCAAATTAAGAACAACAACAAAAAAATAAATAAATAAAAAATAAAAACAAAACAGCTTCAATTGGCAACATAACGAAAAAAAAAATCGAACAAAAAAAAACAACACAACACCGACTTGAAGCTAGCCTGAACCTGACAGCTGGCCTGAACCAGTAAAGTTCGAAAGCAACGGTTGTTAATGGGGAGCCAGACCCCAGAGCGTAGCAGCAGCAACAAAGACAATTATCATATGGCTATGCAAAACACTTGAGATGCTTGAAGAATGAATGAGAAGCTCGACTTACCTGTGAACCTGGTTGGGAAAAAAGAACGCCAGCAAAATTGTTTTTGTAATCCACTTTAGAATTGTAAATCCATGTGAAAGGGGTGGAGGGGATCCGGGGAATATCCTTTTTAATTTTTTTGGGAGTCTGAACACACACACACACACAATATTTACTTCTTTATTTTTATTCTCCTTTATTTCTGTATTTATTTTTAGCCTTCTTTTTTCTGCTTCTTGTTTTGTCAAAACTCCAGAAATATCACTCAGACTGGCTTCTTGGCTTTTCCACACTTCTGACTCAAAAAAGGAAACTTGTTTTCATGATTTTTCTTCTTCTTTTTTTTTACACAACGGACATTAGACTTTGTTTTTCATGCAATAAATGGTCAGAGGACTGGCGGGGGGTGGGGGACAAGCTCTAATGTTTGCATGCAGCCACAACAAAAAAAGACACGTTCGTTCTTGTTTCCGTTTTTTTTTTTTTGCACTCCGACACAACGATTTACAAGACTTTGTTTTATTTAAGAATTTCTTTTCTTATTTATTTTTTCTTTTGACAATTTTCTCAAACTTGCTTAGTTTTATTTTAAATTATTTTATTTATTATTTTTCCTTTTTAAATTGCAATTTTTATTTATTTTTCCCCGTTTGAAAAATAAAAAACAAAACACATTCACACATTTGTTGCTCTTTCTCTCTCTTTAAAATAAAACACGGAACACAGCCACCGTTGTTTGTGGTCTACCATTACCAGCAGCAGCACTCATTCGCACACTCTACTGTTTTGGTTTTTTCTTTCTTATCCGTTTCCGCCGACGTTTCGTAATGTATTGCCTCGTTCAGCAGTCGTTGAAGAACTGAGAGTCTCGGCAATGTTGCTTTCTTTTCGCAGGCAAGAAATCTTGGACCAGCCATCGGCAACGAGACCAACGACTTAACAACGACGGCTGTTGTTGGTCGTTGCTGTGCTGTGGCCAACCAACTGCTATGTGTGTGTGTTTGCTTGTACTTGCATTGCAAGACACGGATGTATTGCATTCACCACACACCATTTACCATTTCTGGTAACAACAAAAGCACCCACATGCTCTCTGCATTTGTGTGTTTACCTCTGTATTGTGTGAGGGCAAATGGCAGATAGATCTCTGTGTTTCAATCATGTCTTGAGAAAAAAATGCAAAGAGCATAGGCATAGAGATCTCTCTAGCCACAAGGAATAAAGCAATGCTTTTGTTTCCATAATAAACACAAACGAAGAAGTGTGTGTGTGTCTCTCTCTCTCTTCATTGGAAACGAATGGAGGGAGGCCTTTGCATTGTTGTTATTTTTGTTTTGTTTTTGTATTGAATGCAATTAACTCACCTGGATTTTCTTGGGTTTCATTGGCAGGTGTTGCCACATGGATGTATTGCAGTGTTAAAAGGGGATTTTTGGCAAGGCAAGTGGAATATTTAAGAAATTGTAATTTAATAATGAAATTATGGGATAAAATAAATAAAACGAGAAAAATATGGCTGAAAAAAGGAATAAAATAAATTAGAGAAATTAAAAGGCCGAATAAAAACCAAAAAAAAAAAAAAATAATAAATAAATAAATAAAAATAATAATAAATAAAAATATAAAATAATTACTATTTTTTTAATCAAAGGCAAATGGAATATTAAAGAAATTATTATTTAATAATGAAATTTAAAGATAAAAATAAATAAAATGAGTAAAATAGGGCTGGAAAAATACGAATAAAATAAATTACAGAAATTAAAAAGGCCAAATAAAAAAACTAAAAATAAAAAATATATAAATAAATAAAAATAAAATATATAAAATAATTACTACTTTTTTAATCAAAATAATCAGACTTTCTTGTAACTTTTTAAAGGAGCCACGTTCATTTTCTAGGGAAGAAAAATAGAGCGAGAGTTTACCAAGAGATAAGGGGGATATTCTTTATTTCTAAGGACATATTTTCCCTAAGAATTATTTATAAAAATTATTTTATCAAAAAAAAAAAAAAAAAAAAAAAATAATTTTTATAACCAATGAAATATATAAAAATTATCCATTAATATTATGCCCTAATGAAAAACATAGTAAAAATTTATGAAATTTATGAAAATTTTCATCGGAGAGCGGAGAAAAACAAATTCGGCAATTCACCACTTTCGGCCAAGCGAAGCAACTCTTTAGCTCTTTTGGGTCTATTTTCTTTCTGAGCTGTTGCGGTGTAAGTTCTTGCACTTTTTGGAATTTCAATGGCTTTACCCCGAGCTCGCCCGATTTTTCAATATATGCCAAATGGAATATTGCGATGTGTTCAGCTCACGATCCATTTTTCGGCCAGGGCTAAATTTGCCAAGGCTTATTTTAAAAACCAAAATTAATTATATTTTATAATGGTAAATATTAGATATTCAAATTATGCTTTTGCTGAGACTCATATTGAAATTTGATTTAGAACATCTCTTTTTTTCAAGTCCATCCCAAAAAATCATGTTTTATGGGAGATTTCGACTTAGACTGAAAACCTGTTAAATTAGCAGTAAAAAAGGAAGATATAATTTTCAAATATAATTTCCAGAAAATTTATCACACCTAGATACATAAATTATTCTGAGATCTCTAGTGAAATTTTGTGTAGAATATTTCTTCCTCTGACAATTTTTGGCTAAAATAAAATTTTATGTCACTTTCAGGTCTCAGCTCGAAAAAGGACTCAGGAAAAAATGGGATTTTTTTTTCTTGTTTTTTTATTTTTATTTTATTTTTTATTTATTTTTTTTTTTTGAATGATATTTTTTATGTTATATATAAAATGTACAAAATTCTTTTGTTCAGAGACTCATATTGAAATTTAATTTAGAACATTTCTCCCTTTCAAATCTATCCCAAAAAATCATGTTTTATGGGAGATTTTGAGTTAGCATGGAAACCTGTTAAATTTTGCATTAAAAAAAAGGAAAACATAATTTTCAAATGTAATTTCCCCAAAATCTATCAATCCTAGAGAAGTAATTTATTCTGAGATTTCTAATGAAATTTTGTGTAGAATATTTCTTCCTCTGACAATTTTTGGCTAAAATAAAATTTTATGTCACTTTCAGGCCTCAACTCGAAAAAGGACTCTGGAAAAAATGGGATTTTTTTCTTGTTTTTTTATTTTTATTTTATTTTTTTAATGATATTTTCTATGGTATATATTAAATATACAAAATTCTTTTGTTCAGAGAGTCGTACTGAAATTTGATTTAGAACATTTCTTTCTTTAAAACCCATCCCAAAAAATCATGTTTTATGAGAGATTTTGTCTCTGAATGGAAACATGTAAAACTAGCAGTAAAAAAGAAAAAAAAACATCATATTCATATGTAATTTTCCCAAAATCTATCGAACCCAGATAAACAGTTTATTCTGAGATTTATAGTGAAATTTTGTGTAGAATATTTCCTCCTCTGACGCTTTCTGGCTAAAATGAAGTTTTAGGGTACTTTCAGGTGCCAAATCCCAAAAAGACCCTGGAAAAATTCATCAAAAAATATGTATTTTTGGTTTTTTATTTATTATTAATATTTTCTTATTATTTATTGGAAATAGAGTTTCCTTTCCTTTGGTGACCCTTAGCGAAATTTGATGGAGAATAATTTTTCCTTTGACATCATCTGTCTGAAATGATGCCTTGTAGGAGAATTTAACATTAACTCACATAAGGTAAGGTTTTAACCCTAAAATGTGTTTTTAAGGCATGTGAATCACTGGCCTTTGGGTAAGCTTTAGACTTTCCATGTCTTCTGGGACTTGTAGTAGAATTTCATGGCAAATAAATTTGTAGAATATTTGCGCTTGCTATGATCACGTTTAAAGGGAGATTTTAGCCTTATATTGAAAAAAGCACCAAAAAGACCCATTTGGTGACTTGCTTGGGGGTTAAAATTTCTGAAAAAAATAATTCTCGTATTATTATCTGTAATTTTGCCGAAGACACTATATAGCTAAAATGAACGGATTCCAAGGAATCTTAATTTGAATATTTAAGAAAGCTTTGAAAAGGGGAGAACTTGCCCCCTCTAGGGTTGCTTTTCATTGAAATTTTTTTTTTCAAAACGCCGATACATGTGTCTTGTTTTTAAGCTCTACTTTCACAATCCGCTGAAATTTTTAATTATTAATAATATTTTTTTTTATTATCACCGATTTTTTTCTTGTTGTTATTAACGTCCCCTCACCATTTGTAACGAATTCGGCAATTTTCAAAAAAAAAAAAAAAAAATAAATAAAAATTAAAAAAAAAATAAAATTCTGTTAAAATCTTAAAAATTAGGGTCTATACGACTACTTTTTTATGGGGGCTATACCAAAACATGGATCTGCTCAGACAATTTTCTGTTATAGGCTGTAGTATCTAATGCGAACATCAAATACCAAATTTGAGACAATTCCGATGAATAATATCGCTTAAGTCACCAAAATTCCGAAAAAAGGGAGGTACCATTATATTGAGGGCAATACCAAATCGGAATGACAAACTTAATATACCCTCCATACTATAATGGAGGTTATAAAAATGTTTAAATTAACCTTATATGGGTCATGCTTTAAAGAATTCTCTTCATTTTCCAACTCTTTCCTTAAGTGTATTTTTTATTTTATTAATTGATTATTTTTTATTACATAATTTTTTATTTGTTATTTTTTACCATTTTTTAATGACTTTTCTGTGTTTTAAATTTTTATTTCAATTAAATAATTTCAAAATTCAAAAAAAAATTTAAAATAAACCGTAAATAGGCCTTCGAAAAAATCCTTTTAAACTTCACTTTTGGAACTTCAATAGGCCTTCCGCAATTATCTTAAAAAAAAAACATTAAGAGCTACAATAGAACTTCGAAAAAATTCCCCCAAAAATCCTCTTAAAATAGATACAATTATATCTTAATACACACCATTATAAATATTGAGAGTCCTATGAGAAATTTCACATTCATCTTTCACACACACACACACATTCATCTTCTAATCACAAAAATTGCATGCAATTTTTATTTTGTTTTCATATTTGCCTCTGAGTTTTTATGGATCGACTTCTTTTACTGCCTCAACTACTTATTCTCATTTGAATGGTGGTGTCTCTCCCTCCCCCTTTATAAACAAGAACAAAAATTACAGTAAATGTTTATGAGTCTCTTTCAATGCCCACGACCAGAAATACTCTCTCTCTCACCTTTATGAGGTAAGTGTGCATGTGTATTGTTTACAGGTGAGAAGTGTGTATTGTTATCTTGTGTTGGGGATGAGATGATTATTTCACTTCCAATTGGTTTGTTGTCATTATTCTCACACATGAGAGTGTCGAGGGAAAACGGGTGTGAGAGTAATGTGAGAAGGTAGATATTGTAGAATAAATTGAATGGGGATTTTATAGCATGCTAGAAAATTGTTAAAGATATGGAATATAAAGGGGAAAAGAGCTAAAAATGCAAAGTTTGAGCATTGAGATCATTTATAAAGGAAGGAAAACTACAAAGCTTAAATAAATTAAATTTAATTGAATAATTTAAATAAAAATATAAAAATTTCCTGTTAAAAAAAAAACAATTTGTTGGCTACAAAAAAAATAATAATAAATTAAGAAAAATAAAATAAAAAAACAATATAATAAATAAAAAAATTAAGAAAATATAAAAATAAATAAATATCTATAAAAAATAAATATAATAACAAATAAAATATATTAAAAAATAAAATATATAATAAAATAATAGTAAATAATAATAATAATAATCATAATAATAATAATAATAATAATAATAATAATAATAATAATAATAATAATAATAATAATAATAATAATAATACAAAAAAAATAATAAATACAAAATAATAATAATAAATACAAAAAAAGTAAAAAATTAAGAAAAAAAATACAATATAATAAATAAAAAAAATTAATAAAATATAAAAATAATTAAATATATATAAAAA